TGGAATTTCAGGTCTTAAATTTGCATATTGACCATCAAACTGGTTAGAATATCGTGGTAATCCATCCGGTCCCTCTTCAATAGCATTTAATTCTTCATTGAAGTAAGAATATGGATTATGACGGTATGAATTAATTGGACCATTTTCACCTTCTCCAATGTATTGTTTAACAGCTTTTCCATTTTCATCAAATTGCATAGGATAATGTTCATTATATGCTTTACGTTTAGGATAATCCGTCATTGTTAATTTATACCCATTTATGACTTTAATATTTCCTTGACCATCAGTAACGAAAACTTCATTTATTCCATCAGGTTTTCCATTTGGACCCGTAATGTCTGCTTCGTGTGCTTCCCAATTTGGTCCGTGACGTTTGGCATATGCTTGAGCTTCTGGTAATGTTAAAACGTTTCTCATTTGTTTAACATCCTTTTGAAGACCGGCAACAATGTGGACTAATTCTTTCATTCCGTCTGGAACTTTCATAGTTCTATTATATGCACCCTTTTTGTTTGTTCCTTGTTTTAATGGAACCTGTAGAAGATTTGCAATTTCTGTCATGTTTAATTATAAATAAAAAATAAAAATTAATTATAAAAGTTTATTCGAATTTAATGGAACCTTTATTTAAATCAACTATTATTTTTCCATGTTCACTAATTGCTGATATTGTGTGTAAAGTTCATTAATGCTCATTGGTAAATTCACTTGATAAAGCATAACGTTCAACTGTTGACGACTAAACCCAACTGAAAATGAAAAGGGTGGACAGGTTTGATTTAAATGTTTGTGCTTAATGCTTAAAGTATTGAACAGCCATGAAGAATGAACACTGAATGTGTCGACATTGAGTTAATCAATTGATTAAAATATGATTTCTCATTAGTTATTAGTTTTGATTTCACACGCATCATCTAGAAAAATGAGTGAATGCAAAAATTCTTTATCAAATATTTGAAATAGAAAGTGTTTCAATAATTCATCCCGTTGTTTATCAATAATTTTATCCTCTAATCCTTGCTTCTTGATTGTATTATATAATTCTTTATACATTACAAAGTTTTTTAAATAATCTTCTGCTTCTTCTTGTGATAAATAAATAATTGGAATTTTGATTAAATGCTTTAAAGATTCAAATGTATCATCTGAAGGTGAACCTGAACGGTTGATATAAATTAACACATGTGAATAGGGTGAAGTGTTAGCAATAAATGATAATTTGTTTTAATATCGTTAATGTTTTACCTTTATTTTGTTTACCAATTGCTGCAGTGATTGAATTTAAGTAACATTCAGAATATGGAATTTTCATTAATTTTTCCTTAGATATAGCATTTCTATTATCACTCAATGCTTCATTATCATCATCATCTACGTATGTATTATATACTCCTGCTAATTCTTCATAAGGGGTGGATGAATTAAATCCATTTAATCAAAAATAAATTTATAATTTTATACATTTCTATTCATCAATATTTCATCATATGAACTTCTATACTGTGGTGGTGTACCTGTTGGATGATATTTCAAACCTTCATCCGGTGTCCATGTCCAATATGTAGTCCTAGTAAACCAAACCTGAGGAGGATTTGTCACCTTTGAACAGTAAGTGTCATTTTCACCCTGAATGATTGGATAAGCTTTCACTTGTACTGTAACTTGTGAGTTGAAAGTTTCTAATCCATCAAAGAATATACCCGCTCATCACGTTGAACTGGAATAGTGCATAAGAATGAAGTTTGGTCTTTCCATGTTCTAGCTAATGGCGTGCCATTATCATCATTCAATGGTCTAGTTAATGAGTCCTCGTATTCTTCTGTGCATTCATTCACTCCATCTAAATCAGAAGCTTGAAGCATACGTGTAAAGAATATGTCGCCCACTGTGGTCATCGCTTGATCGGGGAAGTTTTGGAATCTATAGTGACCTGAAGACCTCGAAGCATTGGATTTTCTAAAAACCGTTCTTTGCATTGCATTCTTCGGAAATGTTAACACAACATCTGTAACATTATGAAGAGCGTATGAGAAATCTGAGCTAATACCTTCAGGAGTGATGCAACTCCATTTAGTGAACGAACGTCAATATGTTGAGCTGGAATCATGAATGGATCTTCCTTACTAAATAAACGTGGTATTGCTTTAACTGATTCTTCAATTAAACCGTATCCTGGTGTAATGCATTTATCCTCTAAAACTTCCATCTTTGTGCATGAAATAATAACGTCTTCAACTGTTGCGTCAGCAGATGTAGTGGCTAAGCTTGTAATTAATTTGGCAGGAAGTCCGATTTGTTGGAATTTGCGATCATATTTATAAACATGATTCATAATCTTTTCATAATTTTCATCAGTTATCTTTTCATAAACGTAATTTTGTAAATCAGCAACTCTTAACGGGTCAACCTGACAAAATACTAAAGTATCCCTGAAAACATAATATTTAAGAATGATTTCACCAAATGATTTAGGATAATCATCGAACGCCTGAAATGCTAACAAATCATTTACCGGAATAATCATATCAAAAGTGACATCAACTTCTTCATTTGCTTTCTTGAAAACTTCTGAAGGGTCAATATATTTACCACATACTGAGTTTATCATATTTTTGAACATTATTATATAACGAATGAACAAACTTTTTAACTTTCCTTTCTGATTTTGGTTTATATGTTGCAAATGCGAAAGATTCACGGGCGCAATCCATCTGAAGATAACCAGCATCACCTCTTTCGGTTTCTACTTCTAATTGCTTAAAGCTTTGATTTGATGATTTATAACCAACGAATAAACGCATGCATTTAAAAGCGGCATCACATGTGAAAGCTTTATTTGAAACTAGAGTTGCTTTAACTTTGCGTTTAATATATGTGTCACCTAATTGGTTCACATCATGAGCCGGATTTGTAATTCTTAAATGAGTTTGTTTATCATCAAAATATGGAGCATCAGAGTCATAGCATGAACTTTCAAGTTCTCTATAATATCTTCTTCCATCATTCTTTGCGAATATTTCATTTATCTTTTCGAATGAATGAAATACATTTCCATTAATCGGTTTAGTGTTTGGCACTAAATAGTTAGTCGTCTTATTATTAAATAAAAATCAAAATTAAAAGATGAAAATGAATTTTTAATTTTAATGAAATAATCAACTATGGCTGCAGGATTCTTTAAGAAACTGTGGGATAAAGTAAAAAGAGGAGCGCATAAAGTTTGGGAAGGGATTAAGAAAGGAGCAAATTGGATATTTAAGAATAAAGAAGCAATTAGTGACGTTGCTGAACAAATAGCACCTAATGTTCCGGTAAGGAAGTATTAAATAAAGGAGATAAGGTTTATCGTCGACTACAACCGATATTGAGATAAAAATAATATTTATTTATTTTTCCACTACTTTCCTCCTATTTTATTAAGTATTCCTTCAGCAATTCCACCAACTGCGTTACCTGCTTGTGCTCCCATCGCTGGATTACCTGCTTTAGCACCTAATACTCCTCCTATGATAGTTCCTGCCGTTTTCGCTACTGGTGCCAAAAAGTTTGCAACGGGTTTAATAATCTTTTGATGAACCCAACTTGCAGCTTTCTTAATTCCTTCCCATAATTTTTTAAAGAATCCTGCCGCCATCTCTGATTTAATATTAATTAAAAAATATATTTCATCACTTATATTCTAATTTTTTATTTAATGATAAATGAAACCGATTTTAAAAATAAATGAAACAGAGGAGGAAGAAATAAATGAAAGTGAAAATGTTCAACAAAAAATAAACGTTGTTAAACCAATTACTGAAATAAAAATTTTTTCATCTGTTGATGAATTTAATGACTATTATGCTAATAATAAAAAATTATTTGAAGAATTGACAACATGTAAATTGAATAAAATGTTTAAAGTTGAGGACAGAGTCCAAGACCGGAGGGTCATGGATTCAAAATTTCAAAAATAAAAGGTGTTGTTAGTTTAAAATCTATTCCTCAATCAAGAATCACCTCATTAATGAAAATTGATGATTTAACAAAAAGAATAGAAATTATTGAAGAGCGAATAAATCAAATTATTGATTTCATAAATCATGACTCGTTGAGCCCGGGTCCTTAAAGCTCAAGGCACAAAGTGCCCAGGACTTAAAGTCCATCACTGAGTTCAAGGTTATATTCATCAAATATTTCATTATTAAATGCAACTTCTGCTAGTTTATTTATTTTTTCAATACGATCATTTGAAAGTCTATCGTTTAATTTTTTCTGAAGTTTTTCATTTTCTAGTTCTGAAACTTTATTTGGATGATATTTAAACCCGTTAAATTCTTTTTCCTCAGTTTTGATCATTAATTTACAAAGAACTTTTGTGGTTGGAATTCGTTTAAACCATTTATCATTAATATTTGTTATAAATTCAATATCTGGAATTAATTCCCAAATTTTTGCATTTTCAATTAATTTATTATCAAATGCAAAAGCAATAGGTTTAATATTAAATCAGAGATGGCGGCAGGATTCTTTAAAAAATTATGGGAAGGAATTAAATATTCTTTATCATTATATTTATACCTCATTAGCTTATTTTGGCTTTCATATTCATTTAATAATTCACAATCTTCATTTTTAAATTGAAGTTTAACCCATTCAGGATTTAAACAATGTTTAATTAATCGCGGAATATCTGACATCATCTATATATAGTTTCTTTTATAAAAGATAAAAAAATAAATTATTTTAAAATTAATGTTAATTCTTTAATGATTTATAAATAAATATATTTTAATGCATCGTCTATATATAGATGAAACAAAAAAAGTCACACAACCCGCACTCATATACTACTTGTGATATCAGATATAATCCAATAAATATATTCTATATATTATTAGAAAAATAGTAATCATGCAAAGATATTATCAAATTTTGAGTTTAAATCTGATAAGCAAAGATGGTGTAAACTTCAGAATTTCACCTTTTTTCACAAAATTAAATCTTTTTTCATTTTCATGGAGAAAGTAAATTATGAAGATTTAATGGATATGTGTCAAGACTTTATTTATGTATACGATACATTGTATAAGCTGAAGACTTTCAACAAAAAAGAAATTAACAAAATTTATCTTGATATCAAAGGGTTACTTCTTGAAACCAAACAAGCATCGCCAAATCAAATTCTGACAATAATATCTACTGCAATGATTCATAATATCAAATACTTAAAACAATACAAGGCAATTTTCAATAAGATTTATAAAGAATATCATCCAATCTTTACACACAACGAATTGAAAAACATTCCACATATTTTATGGGCAGATTTATCAGATGAAAATGGCGTTTTATTATCAGAAAAGTATATTTATGATTTCGCACGCAACAAATATAAATATTCAACAACAAATTTTATGGAAGAAAACACAATATACAGAGCTATAATGTATGATGATAAATTTTCTTTCATAGCATTCATCGAAACGGATGGTTTCAACAAGGATCAAATGCTTGAGAATGATTTATATCCATCCAAACCTCTTTCCTTGATTGAACTGTGCTGTTATCATGGAGCTGTAAATTGTTTTAAATATTTGATTACAAGATTTAAGTCAACAATAACTCAGAAATGTCTTTGGTATTCATTTTTGGGTGGAAATTCAGACATTATTCAGGAGTGTTTGAAAATTGAAGAGCCGGATGAAGAATGCATGAGGTATGCAATTATTTCACATAACATCGATTTTATTTCTTTTTTGATGAGTGAATACGAGTTTGAAATTGATTTATATAATTGCGTCATATATCACAATTTGCAAGCATTTTTAGTTTATTTAGATCAATCAAAATATATTAACAAATTCTTTATTTATTCAGTATGCTTTTGCATTCCTTCCCTATGCGAATACTTCCTTTCGCATGGTGCTGATGTTAATTCAAAGACTGAAATTGGTCGAACTGCACTTCATTTTGCAGCAGAATTTAATTGCATCAAAATCGCAGAATCCCTTATTTCGCATGGTGCTGATGTCAATGCAAAAGATAATGATGGGCACACTGTTCTTTGTCAAGCAGCATATAACAACAGTAAAAAAATATTCGAATTGCTTATTTCTCATGGGGCTGATATTAATGCTAAAGACAATAAAGAACGGTCTAATCTTCATTATGCAGCAGAAAATAGCAGTATAGAAATAGTTGAATTCCTTATTTCTCATGGCGCTGATGTCAATGCAAAAGACAATATTGGATTTTCTAGTCTTTTATATGCAGCTTATAGTAGCAATTTAGAAACTATTCAACTCCTTGTTTCACATGGAGCTGATGTTAATTCTGTAGACATTTCTGGAGAATCGGTTCTTGGTGCAGCAATATTTGAAAACCATAAAGATATAGTCGAATTCCTTATTTCACACGGCGCTGATGTTAATGCTAAAAGAGGGCTAGAGAGATTATCTGCTCTTCATAAAGCAGTAGAAGAAAGCAGTATAGAAATAGTTGAACTTCTAATTTCACATGGTGCTGATGTTAATGATAAAGACAATAATGGAGAATCAATTCTTCATTTTGCAGCATACAGAAAATGTAAAGAAATAGCTGAACTTCTTATTTCACATGGTGCTGATGTTAATGATAAAGACAATAATGGAGATTCAATTCTTCATATTGCAGTAGATAGAAACAGTAAAGAAATAGTCGAACTCCTTATTTCACATGGTGCTGATGTTAATGATAAAGACAATGATGGAGACTCAATTCTTCATATTGCAGCATACAGAAAATGTAAAGAAATAGCTGAACTCCTTATTTCACATGGTGCTGATGTTAATGCTAAAAACAATAATGGAGATTCAATTCTTCATGCTGCAGCAAAAAATAACTATATAGAAATAGTCGAACTCCTTATTTCACATGGTGCTGATGTTAATGCTGAGGACAATGATGGATTGTCAGTTCTTTATGCTGCAGCAATTGATAACCATAAAGAAATAGTCGAACTCCTTATTTCAAAGATTATGTTAGAATATCAAAAAAAAATACAAAATGATAATCAACATTGGTTCAATTATCAACTTTTTTAAATGGTGGATCCGCGCCCATCTGACTTTAATTCAGATTATTGACAACTAGGATGAAGTTGAATATATAGATATTGGCATGCATATATCTCCGAATTTGAGCTATTTTTGCATCTTGATCAAATAAAAATTGACAATAAAAATTCAAAATGAATAATTAATTTAAATTTCATTCATGACTCATGTCTTAGTTTTAATGTAATCCCAAGTTTGTGAAAAATCCGACTTTCTCTAAACAAAAGTATGGAACATAAAAATTTATTTAATTTAGAAAATGCTTAAGCAACTATAATATATTTTAAAACAGTGGTTTGATTCATAATTTTTGAAACATGCTATTGGCTATGGGGTAATCAGTCCATACTGATCTTCATAATGCAATATATTTTAATAATTTAAGCATAACTGAAGCTATTATTTCAAATGGTGCATATATAAAATGATTCTGAACAAACTACTTATGAATATACAAACAATTATGTCTGAGATATTCAAACGCATAAAATGATGAATTTGTATTATATTTTTAAAGGTCAATCGGAGTATATAAAATCGACCAAGATTGTTCCCATTATTCTTGACATATGAAATTTAGTAATATGGACTCACAGAATGACTTTCGTTTGATCTTTATCATTATACATTTCAAGGAGTGATCACAAATATTTTAAAGAAGCAATATTACAAGATAATGATATCAGATTTATTCGTGATTCGTAGTTTCCTACATTGAGATTACTAAATGTCGAGATCGTAAATTGAGGGTAAAAGGTTTGTTGAGTTTAAACCTGGAGAACGTAGCAACCCCAGTTAGGATTCAGAATATAATTCACCTACTTATTGTTGTTAGAAAAATTGTAATGGATCTTTTACTGTCAGATTAAAAGGAAATCTCAAAGTTAAGCTTCTGTAATATCGAATTATTCTAACAACATAAAACCATATATTTCTGAGCTATCTAAGAATTTTGGCAAAAATTTCTGAACTAAAAAATTTTCGATCCTATTTCAATTTTACTTATAATATCTTTCAAATAATGTCCGAACCCAATGAAGTTAAGCTAGTCGTCGTAGGTGAGACTGGTGTTGGTAAAACAACGCTCCTTCAAAGATATGCCGAGGGCAAAGTTGAAGAACAGTTGTCGACAATTGGTGCATGTTGTATGGAAAAGGCTGTAGAAGTAAATTCAAGAACATACAACCTATCGTTATGGGATACTGCCGGACAGGAAGCTTACCGAGCTATAGTTCCCATGTATTTTCGAGGGGCATCTATCGCATTAATTGTTGCCGATATCACAAACGAAAAAAGTCTCGAAACAATACCATATTGGATCAATCTTGTTCACAAAAACTTATCTACAGAGAATCCAATTGTTTCAATTGTTGTCAATAAAATCGATCTCAAAGAAAGTCAAGTTATGACAGAGGGAGATATACTATCTACATATCACACGACCGAAATGGAAGTATTCTTTACATCAGCGATAGCAAATATCGGTGTTGATACTCTATTTGATTATTTACTTAATAAATATGATAATTTAGGTCAACCTACTGATGATAATGTAGCAGTTGCAGAAATTTCCAGGAAAGATTCAAAGACTAGCCATTGCATGTGCTAATATATTTCATAATAATCTCGAAAACTCTATTTTTATTTATATTCCTTTTTTGCGGTGATACAAATGTTATTTAAACATATTTGTTGTTTCTATAAATACATGTGATTTTTTTTTCAATCAAAATTTGCTTTTGCTGGACAATAATGCAACATATAATCATGCGCATGCACCCTGAATTTAATATTATCTTTAGTAAATTCTTCTGCAGCTTCGACGTTAAGTGGATCATTAGGATTTGGTTCAAGAAACAAATACTGGATGCCGAGTATTAAATTAGAAAGAGGTATTGCTGGTGTATATTTTTCTCGAAGAATGTTTAAACAAACTGGTCCATATAGTTGAATATTTGGATGCCAAAGTTTTGTTTTGCATTGAACTGCTGGTCTTTCAAACGGATATTCATCAGTCATTGTGAATTCAAAATCGAAGTTTCCATTTTTCCAAATTCCTTCTGAAGGATGAATTCGAATTAGGAAATGCTTGACATCATCTGGATCTGGAAACTTAATTGCAATTCCTGTTAGAGTATCGGCAGTTTCAAGATCTTTCAGTATTCTAAGCTCAGCTGGAGAAAGTTTTTTTTTCTTCTCAGATTTGCTCATGAATTTACAAAATTTTGAAAATTTCATTTGATAAATTATTCAAAGAAGGTCAAAACTTATTCAAATAACTATTTGTCAACTAAATGAATTAGAATTGCTCAATTTAAAACAAAATTTTACACAAAATGATGAAACAATCGGACAGGATGGTACCATACTATAGACAGTAAGCCAAGAACCTATTTTCATTAGAAATTGTTTCCAAAGTCAAATTGATCAATATTATTGCACGCAATATTTATACTAGGCCTGGACGCTACACCTATGCTTTTTACCATTCAACATCATCAATAGAAATATAAGTTATCACTTACTACATCACATGGTATGTATTAAAAACATATTATAAATATATTTGAATCAGCACATGTTGGAATTCAACTGCAATACTTCAGAGGCATTTTAACCTGAAGAGGGTGTTTATTATTAAGCTTGATTCAACGAAATTTTTGAAATTCTTCATAAAAAATTGATTAAATTTTGTAAATAATTATTTCTCCTTAAACTTTAATATTCAAAGACTTTGCTACTATCGTCCAAAATAATGAATTTTCTTCACTAAAATCGAAAAAATCTTCATCCTCTTCATATTCCTCTTCATCTTCCTCTTCTTCTTCATCTTCGTCATTAAGGTATGCTTCATAATCAGAAGATATATCCCGAGGATTTGAATACTTATAAATAACTTTATAATCTAGGTAAGATGCACCTTGATTATCTTTAATATTTACATCTGCGCCATGCGAAATTAGATACTTAATCATATCTTTATTTTTAGCTCTAGATGCATAATGAAGTGCAGTCCTGCCTTTTAAGTCTTGGGCATTCACATCAGCCCCATAAGAAATTAGCATTTCAGCTTTTTCATTACGATTACATTTTATCGCATATTGAAGAGGTGATTGACCCTTTACATCTCTTGCGTTGATATTTGCACCATGGGCAATGAAAAATTCTGTAAATTCTTTATCAGAACACCAAAAAATAGGTGTATGTCCAAAGCTGTCTGGAGCTTCAATATTAGCTCCATGGTATAAAAGAACATCTGCGTTTGCTAAATTAGGAAATAGAAGAGTTAAATGAAGAGGAGTTATTTTTTGTTTATCTTTTGCATTGATATCTGCACCATGTATGCAAAGAAATTCCAATATCTCTGTATTACGCCCATATTTTGAGGCTTCATGAGCAGGAGTGCGCTTATCAAAAATTTTTGCATTTACATCAGCCCCATTGGAAATAAGCAATTTTACAACTTCAAGATTACTAAAAAAGATTGCATTATGAAGAGCTGGTTTTGTTGAATTAACAGTTTCATTAACATTTGCTCCATTGGCAATTAGAAACTCTGCAAAATCTTTAGAATATCTTACTGCCCTATAAAGGGCAAACTCATCAGCAACTATTGCATTTACATCTACACCAACTGAAACAAAATATTTACAGAGTGAAAGGGATCGAAAGTCAGGAGAGTAAACGAAGCATGTGTTAATATCATTAGTTTTATCTAAATAAACTAAATATGCATGAAGATTGTTATAATATTCGCAATGCTCTAAATCGATTTGGATGTTAAATTCATTAACCAAAAATGTTACAAAATCAATATTGTGTGAAATAATTGCATATTTCATGCAATCTTTGTTTGGTTTTTGATATTTCAAACATTCACTCATTATTTCTGGATTTCCTCCTAAAAAAGAATATGTTAAACATGATGAAGTAATTTTAGAGTTGAATTTTGTTCTGAGAAGCTTAAAACAACCAACTGACCCATAATAGCAACAGAGTTCAAGCAATGTAAGATGTGAATCTGGAAATAAAAAATGAATTAAATTCTTCTTTGGATTAAATCCATCGTTCTCAATGAAAAATATAAATGATTCTTTATTATCCTCCAGAATTGCTTTGTAAATTGTATTTTCTTTAAATAAATCGAATAAGCATTCAGATTCTGAACAACACAGAGTAGCAATATGAGGCAAATCAATTCCATATTCTTTAAGCATATTATAGCTTATAAATTTATCAAGGTATTTATTTTTTGTTAAAGGATATTCTTCATAAATAAGTTTGAGCAATGCTAAATATGAACGGTAATACCGATTATTGTATTTTATAGCTTTACTAACAACATCAATTATATCTTTTGGAGAAAATAAATTTAATTCTATCAATATTTTTTTTATTATAGCATATAATTTCGAAATTTCTCCTTCATCTCTTGTATTGAGTTGATATAATGATGTAAATACGTCAATATAGTCTTTAAACATATCCATTAATTTTAGATAATGAGGATTTTCTCACATTTAAAATATTAAAAAAAGTGACTAAAGCGTTAATCATTGAAAATCTAGTTTGATAACCATTTAAATCTAATGCTTAAATTCAGAAACTTCAGTGTCAGATCAATCCTAAATAGCATGATCTTAAAATTTTTATCTTAAATATGTGTAAAAATTTGAACTCATTTAAATATTCAATAAACTTTCTGATAACATGCGTGAAGCGTCATTGAAAATCAACTTCAAACACCAGAATTAAATACAATGTCATAAGAGCCTATGAACTCCCTTAAGACAGTGCCATTACAGTTCAAGCAAAATGATAATAACATTCATCTGCTTGAACTGAATAAAGTAAGAGTGTTGTCAGATGCCAAAAAATGATGTGTTGTTAGCAAGTACGATCTCGAAAAGTATGTGAGAAAGGACACATAAAATAGTAAATTTAATGGATATAAACATGTTTACTAACATAATATAGATTCTACAAAACAAAACATTACCATATATTAAGAATAAAACAATTTTTTGATTCTTTTATGTGTTTTAGCATCTCTTATTATATCTGAAGCATTTCTAATGTTATCACAACATTGCAACTGCTTTAACTTACTCCACTCTCCTTGTGGATCCTTAAAAATAGCATAACACATGTTTATGCCGATTACCAATAAGTTCTTTTTGATTTTAAAGTCAGCACCAATTATTTGAACAGAAACTTTGCAGAGTTCAAGAATTATAGATTTCAATTCTTGATTATTTTTGCAAATTTTGTTCATAACAAGTACAGAATCATAAACTGGCTCCAAATTTTCAATATTTTTCAGATGAATTGAGAAAATTCTGTTCAAACTCAAAATTATAGATTCAGCAACAGGATTTAGAATATTTAACTGATTTTCACTGATTGTTTTGATGATTCTTGCTGCATGAGAATAACATTCTGGCGGAATTTCGTTTTCTTCAAGAATTTTTGAAATTATAATGGAAAATTCACTAAAAACATCAGGATTTTCAACTTTCCTTAATAACAATGCAGCACACTGCAGAGCTGTTTCCATCGTTTCTGGATATTCTTTGCATTGCATGTAAATTTTTGAAAATTCCAAAGATTTTTCAAAAATTTCGTTGTTTTTCTCTGCATAATTAAATCCGATGGTTCCTGTAAGAGCTAAAGAACTCCTAAAATCACGTTTTGAATCAATTATTGAATTTGCGAGTTCAAATAATTTCAAATAATTTTCATCTGCAGATTTTTTGGAGATTTTTAAGAATCTCTGGAATAAATAGTTCAAAACAGACACCAACTTATCCGAAATCATGCCTGGACTATTAATTGACCCTGATGCAACCTCATATATCAAATCAAATATATCATTTACGGTTTCTTCGTTCATAGAATCCTTTAATTTAATAATTAAGTTAAAAGCTTCCAATTGGCAGATTTCATTGTCAATTTCTTGGATATAATTTAATAAAAATTGTAAAATGTCAGTAATACATTGAGGAATAGAAGATCCGATCACTGATAAGCATTCAAATGATGATAAAATCAATTCCATATTGTCTGAAGAACAAAATTCAAAAATATTTGATAAATTATTTTCATCAATTTCGAAAAATCCTTTTGCAGCAGCTTCACCAAATGATTTAATTGCTAAACATTTGATTTCTATAGAGCTATCTTCAACAAATACATCATTTGCCTTTGAAAATAAATTTATTAATTCTTGATTATCACTTTTCGGCTTGTTTTTCAATAATTCATACAAAATAAATGCAGAAGCGAATCTTGATGATAAGTTTTCGCTGTTTGCGTTTTCTGAAATAAAATTATATAAAATTTCAAAACAAATATTATAAAAATTAGTAATAATAGATGACAAAGTATCCATAGCAGCTATAACTGGTGAATATTCTTCTTTTTTAATTGTAGAAGAATCAGGATTATTTTGAATTACATTTACACAGAGATTTAATATGTTTTCAATGTTATTTTCAATGAAATTAAACGAAAAAGGGTATTTTGTCTTTGCTTTGCTGACATAAAACCAAAATTGCAAAATATTAATTAATAATTTTGGATCAAAATCATTGTTAAGAGTATCTAAGTAATTAAACATCTGTTCAGGAAGATATCTTACGTTTTCTAGCATTATATAGCAATTTTTCGCAACTTTTGTCCAAAACCAAAAAACATCAATTGGATCAAGGTTTTCTGGACTTAAACGGCTCAGAAATGCTTCACGGAGTTCAGCAGTTTTTGCAATTGCAGAATTGAGATGTTTTATTAAATTTCCAAATATTTTTATAATTAAATGCTGAAATGCAGGTAAATCTGGACAATTAGCAATGTAATCGAGTAAAGCTCTAATTATTGCCTCGGCATTATTATAGGAATTAACTGGTAAGGAATTTACGATAAAATCTATGGAAATTAAAGTATTTGTAATAAGTATTGGAGAATTGCTTTGTGTAAGTAATGATAAGAAATCTAATGCTGGATATTGAAGGTTTGTTGGATAAAAATAAAAATTTGCAATTTTAAAATGCGCCAAAGCAAATGCAAGTGAATTTCCGAAGTGTACTTCTTCTGGGTTATCATTAACTGCTAAAACAAAATATGATTGAAGCGTATTGATAAAATCTTGCAAAATTTCACAAGAAATTCCAGGATTTGAAATGCTTTTTACTCTATTATTTTCGACTTTGATTTTTATTGCACTTGTGGAAAACTTTATCGCATTAGTTCTGAGATTAAGTGGTACATTTTCGTTCGAAATGATCTTTTTAACTTCAATTAAAAAGTTTTCTGGTTCTTTGGTGATAAAATCACTTAGAAAATCATTAGTTTGAGAAAAATTAGCTGGAAATGGACTGCTCAATACTGAAATTGCTTCCAGCAAGTCCATTTCCAGAAATTTTGAAAGAAATTTTTATGGAAAATTTTGCCAAGAAAAAAAAAGAGTGTTACATCTCGAATTTTTGGGCGATAAACGATTGATCTAGTAAATGGAGACTGGTTCAGTAAAATACTGACTCATGAAAATAATAAGCATCTCTATATTTCATTTTCCAGGACTGAATAAAAAAAAATTAAAATACCAAATTTCATTAGAAAACAATATTTTATAAAATTTCAAATTAGTGAAATGTAATTATTATAAATAAGTATTATAAATCTTGATTTTATACCGTTATCAACTGGAAATTATTTTTGAATTAAATTTTTCATTAACATTTTCTTACATCACTGCACACCATTATCAACTTTAGCTCAAAGATTCAAAATATTGTAATAAACAGAAATTCATCAAAAGTGACAGCTCTCAATTTTTTGACATTTGTAAATTCTAAATTGAATGAGAAAAATGAAATAATACTAAGCATAATACAATATTCTAGATTTAATTATAATTAGGAAAAAGTTAGTTTTGAGAGTACTTTTCATAGGCATATAGAATGAAATCTTCTGAAAAATAATATCACATAAACTCATATTATTTTCTAATATATAACTATTTTATATAAAAATCAAATTCAATGATCTGAAAAGCGAAGGATAAACCTCAAAATTTACGAATATAATGAGTGGAATAGGCGTAAAGCAAAAATTGATATTTCATATGGTTTTATGATAGATAAGCATTATATTCCCACTCATTATATTCGTAAATTTTGAGGTTTATCCTTCGCTTTTCAGATCATTGAATTTGATTTTTATATAAAATAGTTATATATTAGAAAATAATATGAGTTTATGTGATATTATTTTTCAGAAGATTTTGTGTTCTTCTTCAAAATTTTACTTTTTTATTAAAAAGAATCTTTACAAAATATACATTTACTTTAATTAATATTTAAAAACGTGCTCTATCAAAAGTTCCAAAAATTCAATATTTTAGCTTTTCTGAGGTGTCACTTTTGATGAATTTCTGTTTACAACAATATAAGTATGAATCTTTCTAATAACAGACAAACAAATCACTTAGCTAATAACAGTTCTTAAGCGTCATTTGTTCTATATGCATGGCTATAATATACTCATTTTCCAGAGTTAATCACTATTCCGACGTAAATATCCTTAAATGATACACAATCTGTTTTCTGATCGATAAAATCATCACAAGAATATTCATTTATTCAACAATTGTAATAAAAACATCTCATTGGATATCAAGTACATTCGATGCATCAACAGTACATCATTATTAAAAAATCAAATGAAAAATAATCTGATAAAAATTTTTAAAAAGTCTAAAACACAAATATAACATTTAGTTAACTTTGACATTTTTCGATATATGCCCAATAATACTTACGTCTTCATCATCATCTCGGACTGGAATGAAATCTTCACCTTCGATCTGTTGATGCAAATCATCTCCACCAATAATATCTCCATAAAAATCAATCCTATTAATAGACATACAAGGGGGATATCCGAGGCAAGGTTGAATTTGAACAAGTTTAACATATTTAGCATTATATGACTTATCTAATTTATATGATTTCTCATTACATCTCCTCATTCCTCTTTCTTTTTCTACCCTATGAACTTCTTTCCATTCAACATTGTCATCTGAAATCTGAAGTGCCCAGGAATAAAGGCAACAATCAACACAATAGTCATAATAATCTGTGTCACAACAACAATCACTCTTATAGCAGCATCCGCAGCGAATAAAATATCTATCAAAAATCATTCTTCTATCTTGAAGAGAAAATGTTATGAACGGATATTCTTCTTTAGTTCTTCCACAATTTGAGCACCAATCATAGTTTTTATCCCATGGATAAATTGCATATTCTGGTTTTGTTACCTGCTTTGTGCCATTAATTCTTTGCCTTGAAGAGCCACTTGCATCTATTAATAAAATCTTATCATGATAGGCTTTTGCAATGATGCTCGTATTTACACAAAAAATGAAATTGAATAGGAGAAATATCATAAAAAATGTCACCTTTGATAGACATCAATTCATAAAGGAAGAACAGCAGTAAACTGTCTATAATGATCGTATAATATCTATTCAGATCAATTCAATTCATTTGATTTGTTTGAAAAAATAATGTGCAGTTAAAAAATAAAATACTTTAAAAATCAAAAAATAAAACTAAAGATAGAAAATTACTCTCCTTTGTAAGTCTCTTCCTGAGGTTGCTCAGCATTATAAGCAGCCCATCTGTCACTTCTTGGAGCAAATTCAGCTGGCATACTACGAATCCATTCGAACATTGTGAAGTTGTTCTGTGGGTTGAAGTTGATATCGAATTCATAGCTTGTTCCATTTTCGAATGCGATACCCTTCAAAACGAGTTGTTCACCACGATAGATGATTGTCATTTTGTGGTCGAAAACAACAACTTTATCTGGAGCATCTGGATACTTCGTCTTATCTGGATAGTAAGAAGCCTCGATTCTGATTGGAGTTGGGCATTTGATAACTGTCTTTGTTCTGACAATTGGGAGAATCTTGACATTCTTATCCATGAATTCCTTGTACTTGAGGGCGTGCTTTGGATATTTCATTCTCTTCTTGTGGTCTTCTTCTGGAAGTCTCTTGTCATCTTTAACATTTGATCTGAGGAACGGCGGCAATGTCTTCGGATCAAGTGTTGTTGCATAGCGTAAATCTGTGACATTAATGATAGCGAGATTGAAATCTAAGTGTGTATGGTGTCTATGGCCTTCAAGTGGTTCGTAATAAACTCTGAAGTAAATTTCATCTGTGTACTTCTGAACTGGACCATGGAAGAATTCGAGTTTGTTCATTTCGAGAATGGACATCTTTGGCTTCTTGGATTTCTTGCTCTTATCTGGCTTGAGATCACGTGTAAGAACCTTTGGTTCTTCTTCCTTCTCATCATCGGATTCACCTGTCTTGTCCTTATGGATTGTGAATTTGAGATGGACAGCGCCACGATCCTTGCGATGACCACCTTCCTTCTTAAGAGGAACGTCAGCCTCAATTGGGATGTCATACGAGAATTGGGCAAGTTCAAGTATGGCATTTCCAATGAGGTCATGGGAGTTGTGGTCATCCCAATCGTAGCATTCAATAATGAGAACATCTGTCTTCTTGTCAATGAGTGTGAAGTGGAATTCTTGGTTCCATTGTGGATTCAATTCTTTCTTGATTACTTCGGTCTTTTGAGTTTCGCCATTTGCATTGAGTTTCAATACAACGTATGGATCGCTCAAGCCGTGCTTATCCATCTTGACTAAGTTAGAAGCACTGACAACTGTGCAGTCAAGGAACTCGGCCTTTGGTGGGACTTCGCTCTTGACTGGATGTTCGGCAGCTGGAGCTGCACCTGGTTCTTCACCTGGGTTGAATGCTGAAAGCTTGAGATGGACAACACCGCGGTCTGGACGGATGCCGTGGCGCTTCTTCAGCTCGACGGTGCGCTCAACTGGAGCATCGCCAACTTTGATGTCGTTGATTGGAAGGCGGTTGAAGCCAATGACATCGTTGTCGTTGCCTTCATCGAAGTCGTAGACGGTGATGTACAGCTTGTCCTTCTCTGGGTTCTCAACTGGGATGTTGAAGTCTTGGTTCCAGACTGGGTTGTTCTTTGTATCATGACAACCTGTGTCTTCTGTGGTTCGCCTTGCCGTTGACGTTAAGAGCGCAGAATGGATCGGCCTTGCCGTTGAGGTCCATGGCTGGAAGGCCTTGGGCATCAACAACTGTGCAGTGGATGACAACTGGATCGGCCTTCTTCTCGTTGGAGCAGTTGTCCTTGTTTGTCGTCGTCGGAGGATGTGTGCTCGGATGCAACTGTTGGGATGGAGCGTGTCTGTGCTTCGCCAACATCGGATGATGATGAAAGCTCGAGGAAGGCAGCGGCAGCTGGGTGCTCGCGCGCTTCGTGATCTTCGAGTCGGAATCGTTGGCATCGTTCTTGTGGAGATGGAGCTTGAGGTGGACGGTGCCGCGCTTCTTGCGGAGACCACCTTCCTTAGAAAGCTCAACATCGCGCTCTGACGGTGTCGTGTGAAAGACCAGCGAGTGCAACTTCGCCGTTGCCAATAAGATCATGCTTGCCACTCTCGTCCCAGTCGTAGCACTCAACAATAAGAACGTCCTTCTTCTCGTCGGCAACGTCCATGTTGAATGTCTCGTTCCAGACTGGATTGCGGTCTTTCTTGACAACCTTAGTTGTGTTGATCTTGCCGTTTTCGTTGATCTTGACAATGACGTATGGATCGGCCTTGCCGTTAAGATCCATCATTGCAAGCTCGGTGGCGTTGACAACGGTGCAGTCAACAACTGTTGGGGCTTCCTGTGAAACTTTCTTCTCTGGATGAGCGGTTGGAACAAAGTCGATAGCTGGTTCGGTGCCTGGCTTGTATGCTTCGAAGCGGAGATGGACATCACCGCGCTCGGTGCGGACACCATGTCTCTTCTTCAAGTGGACAAGTGTCTCGACTGGGTGGTTGATGCGGATCTCGTGAAGCTTGATCTTGTTGTAGCCAATGACGTCGTCGCTGTTCTTCTCGTCCCAGTCGTAGACAATGACGTGGAGCTTGTCCTTGTCTTGGTTAGGAACTGGGATGTTGAATGGCTGGTTCCAGACTGGTGTGAGGCTGCGCATGACAACGTTAGTCTTGTACTGCTCGCCTTCGCCATTGACGCTGAGGACGCAGAATGGATCGGCCTTGCCGTTCATGTCCATAGCTGGAAGACCCTTGGCATCGATGACGGTGCAGCGGAGAACAATTGGATCAGCAGGCTTCTCTGGGTTGTCAAGGTTAGCTTCCTCGTCGGATGCATCGGATTCACCATCGCGTGAGTTGTGGAGGCGAAGCTTCAGGTTGACTTTGCCGCGCTCCTTGCGGTGGCCACCTTCCTTCTTAAGCTCGACTTGCTTCTCAACTGGAACGTCCAGAGCAATGCCTTCAAGTGGAATCTCACCAACACCAATAAGATCGTGGTTGTTGTGGTCGTCCCAGTCGTAGCAGTAGACAAGGAGGACATCAGTCTTAGGATCGATGAGTGTGAAGTCGAAGTTCTCGTTGATGTCTGGGTTGAGAGAAGCTTTGACAACTGTAGTCTGCTGTGGAATGCCGTTGCGGTTAAGCTTAAGGATGACGTATGGATCGCTCTTGCCGTTCTTGTCCATTGGAACAAGGTCGCGGGCATTGACAACGGTGGCGTCTAACAATGTCTCCTTAGGCTTGATGTTCTTGATTGGATGAGCACCGGGGACTTTGCTGACTTGTGGCTCCTCGCCTGGCTTGAATGCGCAGATCTTGAGATGGATCTTGCCGCGGTTAGCACGGAGAGCATGCTTCTTCTTAAGGATGCACTCGCGCTCAACGGGCTCGCCAACTTTGATGTCGTCGAGCGGAAGGCGGTAGTAGCCAATAAGATCGTTTGCGCTGTCTTCGTCCCAGTCGTAGCATGTGATGTAAAGCTTGTCCTTGTTCTGGTTGTCGATTGGGATGTTGAATTCTTGGTTCCAGATTGGGTTAAGCTCGCGCATAACAATGCCGGTTGTGTATGGCTTGCCTTGGCCGTTGACTGTGAGGCGGACAAATGGATCGCTGAAGCCGGTGATGTCCATAGCCGGAAGCTCGACACCATCGACAACTGTGCAATGGAGAACAATTGGGTCTGCCTTAGCAACTGCCTTGTTGTTCTCTTCTTCAGATGTTGTGTGCTCATCATCGGGCTCGCCTGTCTTGTCCTTGCGGATCGTGAAGCGGAGATGGACGGTGCCACGGTCCTTGCGGTGGCCACCTTCCTTCTTAAGCTCGACATCGGCTTCGATTGGGATGTCGTATGCGTATTGTGCAAGCTCAAGGATGGCATTGCCAATGAGATCGTGTGAGTTGTGGTCATCCCAGTCGTAGCATTCGACAACAAGAACGTCCTTAGTCTTGTCAACGGGTGTGAAGTGGAACTCTTGGTTCCATTCTGGGTTCAAGTTCTGCTTGACAACTTCTGTCTTCTGTGGTTCACCATCCTTGTTAACCTTGAGAACAACGTATGGATCGCTCAAGCCGTGCTTATCCATCTTGACTAAGTTAGAAGCACTGACAACTGTGCAGTCAAGGAACTCGGCCTTTGGTGGGACTTCGCTCTTGACTGGATGTTCGGCAGCTGGAGCTGCACCTGGTTCTTCACCTGGGTTGAATGCTGAAAGCTTGAGATGGACAACACCGCGGTCTGGACGGATGCCGTGGCGCTTCTTCAGCTCGACGGTGCGCTCAACTGGAGCATCGCCAACTTTGATGTCGTTGATTGGAAGGCGGTTGAAGCCAATGACATCGTTGTCGTTGCCTTCATCGAAGTCGTAGACGGTGATGTACAGCTTGTCCTTCTCTGGGTTCTCAACTGGGATGTTGAAGTCTTGGTTCCAGACTGGGTTCTTGTCCTTCATGACAACCTGTGTCTTCTGTGGTTCGCCCTTGCCGTTGACGTTAAGAGCGCAGAATGGATCGGCCTTGCCGTTGAGGTCCATGGCTGGAAGGCCTTGGGCATCAACAACTGTGCAGTGGATGACAACTGGATCGGCCTTCTTCTCGGTTGGAGCAGAGTTGTCCTTGTTGTCGTCGTCGGAGGATGTGTGCTCGGATGCAACTGTTGGGATGGAGCGTGTCTGTGCTTCGCCAACATCGGATGATGATGAAAGCTCGAGGAAGGCAGCGGCAGCTGGGTGCTCGCGCGCTTCGTGATCTTCGGAGTCGGAATCGTTGGCATCGTTCTTGTGGAGATGGAGCTTGAGGTGGACGGTGCCGCGCTTCTTGCGGAGACCACCTTCCTTAGAAAGCTCAACATCGCGCTCAATGACGGTGTCGTGTGAAAGACCAGCGAGTGCAACTTCGCCGTTGCCAATAAGATCATGCTTGCCACTCTCGTCCCAGTCGTAGCACTCAACAATAAGAACGTCCTTCTTCTCGTCGGCAACGTCCATGTTGAATGTCTCGTTCCAGACTGGATTGCGGTCTTTCTTGACAACCTTAGTTGTGTTGATCTTGCCGTTTTCGTTGATCTTGACAATGACGTATGGATCGGCCTTGCCGTTAAGATCCATCATTGCAAGCTCGGTGGCGTTGACAACGGTGCAGTCAACAACTGTTGGGGCTTCCTGTGAAACTTTCTTCTCTGGATGAGCGGTTGGAACAAAGTCGATAGCTGGTTCGGTGCCTGGCTTGTATGCTTCGAAGCGGAGATGGACATCACCGCGCTCGGTGCGGACACCATGTCTCTTCTTCAAGTGGACAAGTGTCTCGACTGGGTGGTTGATGCGGATCTCGTGAAGCTTGATCTTGTTGTAGCCAATGACGTCGTCGCTGTTCTTCTCGTCCCAGTCGTAGACAATGACGTGGAGCTTGTCCTTGTCTTGGTTAGGAACTGGGATGTTGAATGGCTGGTTCCAGACTGGTGTGAGGCTGCGCATGACAACGTTAGTCTTGTACTGCTCGCCTTCGCCATTGACGCTGAGGACGCAGAATGGATCGGCCTTGCCGTTCATGTCCATAGCTGGAAGACCCTTGGCATCGATGACGGTGCAGCGGAGAACAATTGGATCAGCAGGCTTCTCTGGGTTGTCAAGGTTAGCTTCCTCGTCGGATGCATCGGATTCACCATCGCGTGAGTTGTGGAGGCGAAGCTTCAGGTTGACTTTGCCGCGCTCCTTGCGGTGGCCACCTTCCTTCTTAAGCTCGACTTGCTTCTCAACTGGAACGTCCAGAGCAATGCCTTCAAGTGGAATCTCACCAACACCAATAAGATCGTGGTTGTTGTGGTCGTCCCAGTCGTAGCAGTAGACAAGGAGGACATCAGTCTTAGGATCGATGAGTGTGAAGTCGAAGTTCTCGTTGATGTCTGGGTTGAGAGAAGCTTTGACAACTGTAGTCTGCTGTGGAATGCCGTTGCGGTTAAGCTTAAGGATGACGTATGGATCGCTCTTGCCGTTCTTGTCCATTGGAACAAGGTCGCGGGCATTGACAACGGTGGCGTCTAACAATGTCTCCTTAGGCTTGATGTTCTTGATTGGATGAGCACCGGGGACTTTGCTGACTTGTGGCTCCTCGCCTGGCTTGAATGCGCAGATCTTGAGATGGATCTTGCCGCGGTTAGCACGGAGAGCATGCTTCTTCTTAAGGATGCACTCGCGCTCAACGGGCTCGCCAACTTTGATGTCGTCGAGCGGAAGGCGGTAGTAGCCAATAAGATCGTTTGCGCTGTCTTCGTCCCAGTCGTAGCATGTGATGTAAAGCTTGTCCTTGTTCTGGTTGTCGATTGGGATGTTGAATTCTTGGTTCCAGATTGGGTTAAGCTCGCGCATAACAATGCCGGTTGTGTATGGCTTGCCTTGGCCGTTGACTGTGAGGCGGACAAATGGATCGCTGAAGCCGGTGATGTCCATAGCCGGAAGCTCGACACCATCGACAACTGTGCAATGGAGAACAATTGGGTCTGCCTTAGCAACTGCCTTGTTGTTCTCTTCTTCAGATGTTGTGTGCTCATCATCGGGCTCGCCTGTCTTGTCCTTGCGGATCGTGAAGCGGAGATGGACGGTGCCACGGTCCTTGCGGTGGCCACCTTCCTTCTTAAGCTCGACATCGGCTTCGATTGGGATGTCGTATGCGTATTGTGCAAGCTCAAGGATGGCATTGCCAATGAGATCGTGTGAGTTGTGGTCATCCCAGTCGTAGCATTCGACAACAAGAACGTCCTTAGTCTTGTCAACGGGTGTGAAGTGGAACTCTTGGTTCCATTCTGGGTTCAAGTTCTGCTTGACAACTTCTGTCTTCTGTGGTTCACCATCCTTGTTAACCTTGAGAACAACGTATGGATCGCTCAAGCCGTGCTTATCCATCTTGACTAAGTTAGAAGCACTGACAACTGTGCAGTCAAGGAAACGACGAGCTTTGGTGGGACTGCTCGCTCTTATGACTGTATGCATCTCGGAGCTCGGCAGCTTGGACTTGCACCTGGTTCTTCCACCTGGTTGAATGCTGAAAGCTTGAGCATGGACAACACCGCGGTCTGGACGGATGCCGTGGCGCTTCTTCAGCTCGACGGTGCGCTCAACTGGAGCATCGCCAACTTTGATGTCGTTGATTGGAAGGCGGTTGAAGCCAATGACATCGTTGTCGTTGCCTTCATCGAAGTCGTAGACGTGATGTACAGCTTGTCCTTCTCTGGGTTCTCAACTGGGATGTTGAAGTCTTGGTTCCAGACTGGGTTCTTGTCCTTCATGACAACCTGTGTCTTCTGTGGTTCGCCCTTGCCGTTGACGTTAAGAGCGCAGAATGGATCGGCCTTGCCGTTGAGGTCCATGGCTGGAAGGCCTTGGGCATCAACAACTGTGCAGTGGATGACAACTGGATCGGCCTTCTTCTCGGTTGGAGCAGAGTTGTCCTTGTTGTCGTCGTCGGAGGATGTGTGCTCGGATGCAACTGTTGGGATGGAGCGTGTCTGTGCTTCGCCAACATCGGATGATGATGAAAGCTCGAGGAAGGCAGCGGCAGCTGGGTGCTCGCGCGCTTCGTGATCTTCGGAGTCGGAATCGTTGGCATCGTTCTTGTGGAGATGGAGCTTGAGGTGGACGGTGCCGCGCTTCTTGCGGAGACCACCTTCCTTAGAAAGCTCAACATCGCGCTCAATGACGGTGTCGTGTGAAAGACCAGCGAGTGCAACTTCGCCGTTGCCAATAAGATCATGCTTGCCACTCTCGTCCCAGTCGTAGCACTCAACAATAAGAACGTCCTTCTTCTCGTCGGCAACGTCCATGTTGAATGTCTCGTTCCAGACTGGATTGCGGTCTTTCTTGACAACCTTAGTTGTGTTGATCTTGCCGTTTTCGTTGATCTTGACAATGACGTATGGATCGGCCTTGCCGTTAAGATCCATCATTGCAAGCTCGGTGGCGTTGACAACGGTGCAGTCAACAACTGTTGGGCTTCCTGTGAAACTTTCTTCTCTGGATGAGCGGTTGGAACAAAGTCGATAGCTGGTTCGGTGCCTGGCTTGTATGCTTCGAAGCGGAGATGGACATCACCGCGCTCGGTGCGGACACCATGTCTCTTCTTCAAGTGGACAAGTGTCTCGACTGGGTGGTTGATGCGGATCTCGTGAAGCTTGATCTTGTTGTAGCCAATGACGTCGTCGCTGTTCTTCTCGTCCCAGTCGTAGACAATGACGTGGAGCTTGTCCTTGTCTTGGTTAGGAACTGGGATGTTGAATGGCTGGTTCCAGACTGGTGTGAGGCTGCGCATGACAACGTTAGTCTTGTACTGCTCGCCTTCGCCATTGACGCTGAGGACGCAGAATGGATCGGCCTTGCCGTTCATGTCCATAGCTGGAAGACCCTTGGCATCGATGACGGTGCAGCGGAGAACAATTGGATCAGCAGGCTTCTCTGGGTTGTCAAGGTTAGCTTCCTCGTCGGATGCATCGGATTCACCATCGCGTGAGTTGTGGAGGCGAAGCTTCAGGTTGACTTTGCCGCGCTCCTTGCGGTGGCCACCTTCCTTCTTAAGCTCGACTTGCTTCTCAACTGGAACGTCCAGAGCAATGCCTTCAAGTGGAATCTCACCAACACCAATAAGATCGTGGTTGTTGTGGTCGTCCCAGTCGTAGCAGTAGACAAGGAGGACATCAGTCTTAGGATCGATGAGTGTGAAGTCGAAGTTCTCGTTGATGTCTGGGTTGAGAGAAGCTTTGACAACTGTAGTCTGCTGTGGAATGCCGTTGCGGTTAAGCTTAAGGATGACGTATGGATCGCTCTTGCCGTTCTTGTCCATTGGAACAAGGTCGCGGGCATTGACAACGGTGGCGTCTAACAATGTCTCCTTAGGCTTGATGTTCTTGATTGGATGAGCACCGGGGACTTTGCTGACTTGTGGCTCCTCGCCTGGCTTGAATGCGCAGATCTTGAGATGGATCTTGCCGCGGTTAGCACGGAGAGCATGCTTCTTCTTAAGGATGCACTCGCGCTCAACGGGCTCGCCAACTTTGATGTCGTCGAGCGGAAGGCGGTAGTAGCCAATAAGATCGTTTGCGCTGTCTTCGTCCCAGTCGTAGCATGTGATGTAAAGCTTGTCCTTGTTCTGGTTGTCGATTGGGATGTTGAATTCTTGGTTCCAGATTGGGTTAAGCTCGCGCATAACAATGCCGGTTGTGTATGGCTTGCCTTGGCCGTTGACTGTGAGGCGGACAAATGGATCGCTGAAGCCGGTGATGTCCATAGCCGGAAGCTCGACACCATCGACAACTGTGCAATGGAGAACAATTGGGTCTGCCTTAGCAACTGCCTTGTTGTTCTCTTCTTCAGATGTTGTGTGCTCATCATCGGGCTCGCCTGTCTTGTCCTTGCGGATCGTGAAGCGGAGATGGACGGTGCCACGGTCCTTGCGGTGGCCACCTTCCTTCTTAAGCTCGACATCGGCTTCGATTGGGATGTCGTATGCGTATTGTGCAAGCTCAAGGATGGCATTGCCAATGAGATCGTGTGAGTTGTGGTCATCCCAGTCGTAGCATTCGACAACAAGAACGTCCTTAGTCTTGTCAACGGGTGTGAAGTGGAACTCTTGGTTCCATTCTGGGTTCAAGTTCTGCTTGACAACTTCTGTCTTCTGTGGTTCACCATCCTTGTTAACCTTGAGAACAACGTATGGATCGCTCAAGCCGTGCTTATCCATCTTGACTAAGTTAGAAGCACTGACAACTGTGCAGTCAAGGAACTCGGCCTTTGGTGGGACTTCGCTCTTGACTGGATGTTCGGCAGCTGGAGCTGCACCTGGTTCTTCACCTGGGTTGAATGCTGAAAGCTTGAGATGGACAACACCGCGGTCTGGACGGATGCCGTGGCGCTTCTTCAGCTCGACGGTGCGCTCAACTGGAGCATCGCCAACTTTGATGTCGTTGATTGGAAGGCGGTTGAAGCCAATGACATCGTTGTCGTTGCCTTCATCGAAGTCGTAGACGGTGATGTACAGCTTGTCCTTCTCTGGGTTCTCAACTGGGATGTTGAAGTCTTGGTTCCAGACTGGGTTCTTGTCCTTCATGACAACCTGTGTCTTCTGTGGTTCGCCCTTGCCGTTGACGTTAAGAGCGCAGAATGGATCGGCCTTGCCGTTGAGGTCCATGGCTGGAAGGCCTTGGGCATCAACAACTGTGCAGTGGATGACAACTGGATCGGCCTTCTTCTCGGTTGGAGCAGAGTTGTCCTTGTTGTCGTCGTCGGAGGATGTGTGCTCGGATGCAACTGTTGGGATGGAGCGTGTCTGTGCTTCGCCAACATCGGATGATGATGAAAGCTCGAGGAAGGCAGCGGCAGCTGGGTGCTCGCGCGCTTCGTGATCTTCGGAGTCGGAATCGTTGGCATCGTTCTTGTGGAGATGGAGCTTGAGGTGGACGGTGCCGCGCTTCTTGCGGAGACCACCTTCCTTAGAAAGCTCAACATCGCGCTCAATGACGGTGTCGTGTGAAAGACCAGCGAGTGCAACTTCGCCGTTGCCAATAAGATCATGCTTGCCACTCTCGTCCCAGTCGTAGCACTCAACAATAAGAACGTCCTTCTTCTCGTCGGCAACGTCCATGTTGAATGTCTCGTTCCAGACTGGATTGCGGTCTTTCTTGACAACCTTAGTTGTGTTGATCTTGCCGTTTTCGTTGATCTTGACAATGACGTATGGATCGGCCTTGCCGTTAAGATCCATCATTGCAAGCTCGGTGGCGTTGACAACGGTGCAGTCAACAACTGTTGGGGCTTCCTGTGAAACTTTCTTCTCTGGATGAGCGGTTGGAACAAAGTCGATAGCTGGTTCGGTGCCTGGCTTGTATGCTTCGAAGCGGAGATGGACATCACCGCGCTCGGTGCGGACACCATGTCTCTTCTTCAAGTGGACAAGTGTCTCGACTGGGTGGTTGATGCGGATCTCGTGAAGCTTGATCTTGTTGTAGCCAATGACGTCGTCGCTGTTCTTCTCGTCCCAGTCGTAGACAATGACGTGGAGCTTGTCCTTGTCTTGGTTAGGAACTGGGATGTTGAATGGCTGGTTCCAGACTGGTGTGAGGCTGCGCATGACAACGTTAGTCTTGTACTGCTCGCCTTCGCCATTGACGCTGAGGACGCAGAATGGATCGGCCTTGCCGTTCATGTCCATAGCTGGAAGACCCTTGGCATCGATGACGGTGCAGCGGAGAACAATTGGATCAGCAGGCTTCTCTGGGTTGTCAAGGTTAGCTTCCTCGTCGGATGCATCGGATTCACCATCGCGTGAGTTGTGGAGGCGAAGCTTCAGGTTGACTTTGCCGCGCTCCTTGCGGTGGCCACCTTCCTTCTTAAGCTCGACTTGCTTCTCAACTGGAACGTCCAGAGCAATGCCTTCAAGTGGAATCTCACCAACACCAATAAGATCGTGGTTGTTGTGGTCGTCCCAGTCGTAGCAGTAGACAAGGAGGACATCAGTCTTAGGATCGATGAGTGTGAAGTCGAAGTTCTCGTTGATGTCTGGGTTGAGAGAAGCTTTGACAACTGTAGTCTGCTGTGGAATGCCGTTGCGGTTAAGCTTAAGGATGACGTATGGATCGCTCTTGCCGTTCTTGTCCATTGGAACAAGGTCGCGGGCATTGACAACGGTGGCGTCTAACAATGTCTCCTTAGGCTTGATGTTCTTGATTGGATGAGCACCGGGGACTTTGCTGACTTGTGGCTCCTCGCCTGGCTTGAATGCGCAGATCTTGAGATGGATCTTGCCGCGGTTAGCACGGAGAGCATGCTTCTTCTTAAGGATGCACTCGCGCTCAACGGGCTCGCCAACTTTGATGTCGTCGAGCGGAAGGCGGTAGTAGCCAATAAGATCGTTTGCGCTGTCTTCGTCCCAGTCGTAGCATGTGATGTAAAGCTTGTCCTTGTTCTGGTTGTCGATTGGGATGTTGAATTCTTGGTTCCAGATTGGGTTAAGCTCGCGCATAACAATGCCGGTTGTGTATGGCTTGCCTTGGCCGTTGACTGTGAGGCGGACAAATGGATCGCTGAAGCCGGTGATGTCCATAGCCGGAAGCTCGACACCATCGACAACTGTGCAATGGAGAACAATTGGGTCTGCCTTAGCAACTGCCTTGTTGTTCTCTTCTTCAGATGTTGTGTGCTCATCATCGGGCTCGCCTGTCTTGTCCTTGCGGATCGTGAAGCGGAGATGGACGGTGCCACGGTCCTTGCGGTGGCCACCTTCCTTCTTAAGCTCGACATCGGCTTCGATTGGGATGTCGTATGCGTATTGTGCAAGCTCAAGGATGGCATTGCCAATGAGATCGTGTGAGTTGTGGTCATCCCAGTCGTAGCATTCGACAACAAGAACGTCCTTAGTCTTGTCAACGGGTGTGAAGTGGAACTCTTGGTTCCATTCTGGGTTCAAGTTCTGCTTGACAACTTCTGTCTTCTGTGGTTCACCATCCTTGTTAACCTTGAGAACAACGTATGGATCGCTCAAGCCGTGCTTATCCATCTTGACTAAGTTAGAAGCACTGACAACTGTGCAGTCAAGGAACTCGGCCTTTGGTGGGACTTCGCTCTTGACTGGATGTTCGGCAGCTGGAGCTGCACCTGGTTCTTCACCTGGGTTGAATGCTGAAAGCTTGAGATGGACAACACCGCGGTCTGGACGGATGCCGTGGCGCTTCTTCAGCTCGACGGTGCGCTCAACTGGAGCATCGCCAACTTTGATGTCGTTGATTGGAAGGCGGTTGAAGCCAATGACATCGTTGTCGTTGCCTTCATCGAAGTCGTAGACGGTGATGTACAGCTTGTCCTTCTCTGGGTTCTCAACTGGGATGTTGAAGTCTTGGTTCCAGACTGGGTTCTTGTCCTTCATGACAACCTGTGTCTTCTGTGGTTCGCCCTTGCCGTTGACGTTAAGAGCGCAGAATGGATCGGCCTTGCCGTTGAGGTCCATGGCTGGAAGGCCTTGGGCATCAACAACTGTGCAGTGGATGACAACTGGATCGGCCTTCTTCTCGGTTGGAGCAGAGTTGTCCTTGTTGTCGTCGTCGGAGGATGTGTGCTCGGATGCAACTGTTGGGATGGAGCGTGTCTGTGCTTCGCCAACATCGGATGATGATGAAAGCTCGAGGAAGGCAGCGGCAGCTGGGTGCTCGCGCGCTTCGTGATCTTCGGAGTCGGAATCGTTGGCATCGTTCTTGTGGAGATGGAGCTTGAGGTGGACGGTGCCGCGCTTCTTGCGGAGACCACCTTCCTTAGAAAGCTCAACATCGCGCTCAATGACGGTGTCGTGTGAAAGACCAGCGAGTGCAACTTCGCCGTTGCCAATAAGATCATGCTTGCCACTCTCGTCCCAGTCGTAGCACTCAACAATAAGAACGTCCTTCTTCTCGTCGGCAACGTCCATGTTGAATGTCTCGTTCCAGACTGGATTGCGGTCTTTCTTGACAACCTTAGTTGTGTTGATCTTGCCGTTTTCGTTGATCTTGACAATGACGTATGGATCGGCCTTGCCGTTAAGATCCATCATTGCAAGCTCGGTGGCGTTGACAACGGTGCAGTCAACAACTGTTGGGGCTTCCTGTGAAACTTTCTTCTCTGGATGAGCGGTTGGAACAAAGTCGATAGCTGGTTCGGTGCCTGGCTTGTATGCTTCGAAGCGGAGATGGACATCACCGCGCTCGGTGCGGACACCATGTCTCTTCTTCAAGTGGACAAGTGTCTCGACTGGGTGGTTGATGCGGATCTCGTGAAGCTTGATCTTGTTGTAGCCAATGACGTCGTCGCTGTTCTTCTCGTCCCAGTCGTAGACAATGACGTGGAGCTTGTCCTTGTCTTGGTTAGGAACTGGGATGTTGAATGGCTGGTTCCAGACTGGTGTGAGGCTGCGCATGACAACGTTAGTCTTGTACTGCTCGCCTTCGCCATTGACGCTGAGGACGCAGAATGGATCGGCCTTGCCGTTCATGTCCATAGCTGGAAGACCCTTGGCATCGATGACGGTGCAGCGGAGAACAATTGGATCAGCAGGCTTCTCTGGGTTGTCAAGGTTAGCTTCCTCGTCGGATGCATCGGATTCACCATCGCGTGAGTTGTGGAGGCGAAGCTTCAGGTTGACTTTGCCGCGCTCCTTGCGGTGGCCACCTTCCTTCTTAAGCTCGACTTGCTTCTCAACTGGAACGTCCAGAGCAATGCCTTCAAGTGGAATCTCACCAACACCAATAAGATCGTGGTTGTTGTGGTCGTCCCAGTCGTAGCAGTAGACAAGGAGGACATCAGTCTTAGGATCGATGAGTGTGAAGTCGAAGTTCTCGTTGATGTCTGGGTTGAGAGAAGCTTTGACAACTGTAGTCTGCTGTGGAATGCCGTTGCGGTTAAGCTTAAGGATGACGTATGGATCGCTCTTGCCGTTCTTGTCCATTGGAACAAGGTCGCGGGCATTGACAACGGTGGCGTCTAACAATGTCTCCTTAGGCTTGATGTTCTTGATTGGATGAGCACCGGGGACTTTGCTGACTTGTGGCTCCTCGCCTGGCTTGAATGCGCAGATCTTGAGATGGATCTTGCCGCGGTTAGCACGGAGAGCATGCTTCTTCTTAAGGATGCACTCGCGCTCAACGGGCTCGCCAACTTTGATGTCGTCGAGCGGAAGGCGGTAGTAGCCAATAAGATCGTTTGCGCTGTCTTCGTCCCAGTCGTAGCATGTGATGTAAAGCTTGTCCTTGTTCTGGTTGTCGATTGGGATGTTGAATTCTTGGTTCCAGATTGGGTTAAGCTCGCGCATAACAATGCCGGTTGTGTATGGCTTGCCTTGGCCGTTGACTGTGAGGCGGACAAATGGATCGCTGAAGCCGGTGATGTCCATAGCCGGAAGCTCGACACCATCGACAACTGTGCAATGGAGAACAATTGGGTCTGCCTTAGCAACTGCCTTGTTGTTCTCTTCTTCAGATGTTGTGTGCTCATCATCGGGCTCGCCTGTCTTGTCCTTGCGGATCGTGAAGCGGAGATGGACGGTGCCACGGTCCTTGCGGTGGCCACCTTCCTTCTTAAGCTCGACATCGGCTTCGATTGGGATGTCGTATGCGTATTGTGCAAGCTCAAGGATGGCATTGCCAATGAGATCGTGTGAGTTGTGGTCAT